TTCTGGAATCCGTATCCCAAGAACATGTCTGGATTGATCAAGTTCAAACTTCACACACACATGGTACATCATGTCACAAATAGATATGTGCCTTTGTTTCATGATCTGCTTAACAATAGCGAAATGATGGCCATTTTAAGGCCGAAAATGCATCAAAATCACGTATTTTCACAATTCCAGAACCGGATCTCAGTCATGCATGGATGGATTTTGTTCAGATTTAGCACAATGTGTTGTACATATGCAGGTGCATTTCAGTCATGATCTGCTTTGAATGTATATGTCACTCAAATATGAACGGAACGGGGACGTGTCATTGACAATGACTTGTCCTATTCATTTTGGCTATCGGTGTAGGCTTTCAGTAGGCAAGGTGTTTAACTGCAGCTTTGCAATCCCCGGGATTGCACCATGGCATCATGGGAAATGTAATTTGATTGACCTACCCATCGTTTACTATGTATACAAATGTCACTTGTTGTGTTAATTCTGTATGCAAACATCTTGCGTACACAACTGCCTGTCTCAAAAAGGCATTGTTTATAACAGTTTGGATTTACAATTCATACTTTCTCATCAACGTTAAGACGAGTCACTCAAATCCTGTTCTAATATTAAACCCTAACACCAAATCATACTTTATAAATATTCATGGTTGCATTGCAACAGAAAAATACAGCACCTCATGCATTCTTAAAATCAAAAAAAAAAATTCACTGCAAATTCTGACCAGATGTTTCACCATTGAGTGCGATTTTGCATTCTAAAATCAGGCTGCCATCTTTATCTTTATATGTCTGGAGCTGCTGTTTTAATTATTTGCGAAAGCTAACGCTGTATTTATGTTAATGAGGTCATTGACATCTTTGTAATTGACAAATGTGATCAAAAATGTATTTAAGTTAAATTTTGAAGGTTGTTAAAGTTTATTATTGTTAAAATTTGTGATATTTTCACTATCTGTTGTGTTCTTCAGCCATAGGTCACTGATAACTTGGATTAGTTTCATTTGATTTGATTAGTTTCTGTCAATCAAAGCTTTGATGTGGATCAATCAGAACTCTTCATTTTTATTTCATGTCAACTCTAACACAATCTATTTTTCTTTGTATTTAGGTTGTATGTTTGGGAAATTATGCATTCCACAATCCGCAAGATGAATAAACATGAAAACCGAATTGAGAAAGAGCTCCAGGAGGCCAGGGCTAAGTTGGACCAACATGTACGTGCATGTCAAAAGTACAATACAATGTATATATACATTTGTTGATTTCCCTGATTGCTTGGATCTCAAAATGACACCGACAATCATCATTATAAACTTCATGATCGTTTTCAAAAAGCATATTTTTTTGTTAGTCTAAAGCTAAGGAGTAGTCACCTGCGCATGCATCAGATGGCCATAGCGTGTCATCAGTGTTCTCCACAAGGGGTTTTAGGCGGGCGGCCCGCCCATCAAGTTTTACGGCCGCACAGTAACT